GGATCGCCACCAAATTCGGGGGATCCCTTCAGCTCGAGGAGCCCTCTCGACGCCACCCTCCGCGCGTCGGTAGCCCCCCGGGATCGCGAATTTAACCGCCCGTAACTCCCAGACCACGGGGGCTATTGACGCAGTGGTGGTCTCATTCGAAAGGGGGCCTCAAGACGTACACTCGATTCGGCATTCGAGAGGGTTCCTCGAGCTGATCCCCCAAATTTGGTGCAGATCCGCCGTGCAGTTACGGAGATATGGCTGTTCAAAGTTTCAATGGTATTCCATACACTTAAGCTTTAAAGCGTTTCATCCATGTCGCCAGTAGCAAACAATGGAGCGCGCTCTGCTGGACAAACTACGTAATTACACCATTTACAAGCATTTTATCTGCGTTTATATGTACTGTAAAAAAATGTTCATATCGGCGGCATATTCGCCGATACCGATATATCTGCAACAGGCTCATATCGGGTGATAAAATCGGCAAAACGATATATCGGTTGGGCTCTACTTTTCAGACACCGAGAGACAAGGATGCAAACATACATCCAGCTGCTGAAGAGCGCCTGCCGTGCCGTAGATGGTCAGCTCAGCAGACGGGTGCTGATTGCTCAGGATGAGGTCCGTCTGATCAGCGTAGATCCCTGGACTGACAGGCAGCCGGACGCTGAGCTGCTCTCCGCTGAAGAGAGATTCCTGCACGCTGGCCCTCACTTCCACCTCCGTCATAGACAGACTCAACACCTTCACCTGCTGGTCGCTCATGGGCTTGAAGCTCAGCGCGCAGCTGTAGAAGCCTGACATACAGAGGAGATACAGATCACAGGGTTAAACCTGTCATTGTGAAGTCAGGCTGAAGTCCAAGGTTCCTGTGAGAGACCTGTGCTGGCGTCGAATGCTGTGTGAGTGTGGTAGACGTCATGAGGAGAGAAATCCACAGCGCTGCTGGTGAAGCGGAGCTGACAGCTGACCGAGGACTCTGGGTGGAGCAGAGCCATGCTGTCGGACTGAGATGAAGAGCAGCTTCCTGTGGACAGAGAACACACTCATGAGTATTATAATGCTGTGTGGAAAAGTACTAAGATTAAAAAATGGAACAGTACCTGTGTATGAGGCTTTAGATTTGCTTGTGTTCATTAAAATGCAGTCATAGTAAACAATTATTCGGCATTTGTGATTCTTAGGAATCGAACCCCTAGTGGGGCCCTTTGCAATCCATTTCATTTTTTCCCCCAAATTTTTTCGTGTTATATGAGAAGCGTATGAATGCGTCTCTCTCTAATGCAATGCGTGGAGTGTTCTGTACCGATGAGGTTGCTTCCTGTGCTCCTGGTTGACATCAGGACTTTAGGGTCTCTGTCCTTCTTCACTGCGGGAATCACGACAGACGTCCGAGACGCACCTTCAATTAGAACCTAAACAAAGCACAGCATTACAATACGATCACAGTACTGTTTATCTGCAGTTTCATACTTTTGGACTAAATCATTTTTATAATTTTTCCTTCTAAATATCTGATTCAGAATATCTCCGAACTGAAGTCCACGTGATTAACTTCACCTCTCTGTAGGTGCGGAGTTGACCGGGTATCTCGTAGTACACAGTGACTGTGCCCTTGTCTCTGGCTACCGCCGCTCCAGTCCTGGGATCGATCTCCAGCAGAGCGCTGGACGACGACCTCCACACACCTGATGCACCTGCACATGAACAATGACTTGAATACTCACAGAAAGTAAACGCTTACTTTGGGCTGTCAATATTTGTACGCGTGCGTGTTTTTTCTTACCCTCCTGATTAACAAACTGTGCAGAAAAGCACACAACGTCTCCCACGACCAGCCGCTGGGCTTCAGCCGGATGAATGGCATGCTGGACCGGCAGTGCGAGGAAATCAGCGAGTCCGGCCTGCTCCGAGTCCCAGACCCCCAGCAGAGTCAGACCCACATTCACCGTCCGCACCGTCAGCGTGCCGTTACTCGAACCCTTACCGACCTGCACCAAATCATCCCTGCACACATGACACAGATCCTTAACAAAGCATATGCACTGATTTTTAATTTAGTCTGCAATTACCACCTTTAACATTAAATGATGTTTCTGACGCCTGAATATTTGTAAAAAAAAAAAAAAAAAATTCATTCTTTTTTGATTTGCAACCATATCTGACTCTTCAGATGCTCCATTCCTCTGTGTGAGGAGGAATGAGGTCTGATTCTGTTAGTATTACATTAAGAATGTTACTGCAATACATGTGACGAAACCACTGAAGAAAAGTACAAATTCTTACTTCACATTAAAAATAAAGCTGATATGAAAGCTATATGGAAGATAGCCAGGACTTTGTAAAACATTTGATTGAGTTACAGAGAGTCTCTTTCACAAGGGAAATAAAACATGGTGAAATACGTTGTATACATTATGACTTGTGCTTTTTTTGTCCCTGAAGTGGCAGAGTTTGAGAAGGAAGTTCTAAATAAACAAATATTCATTGCTGCTAGGACTGTAACAAATGATTATTTTGATGACTGATTAATCAATTGATCCTTTTTTATGATTAATTGATTAATCTATCGATCTATATTTTTTATCTTTTTTTTTTATTTATTTTTTTTTACATTGAATCAATGTATTATTTTCTGATTAGTCAATTAATCCTTACCAATAAACTTAGTTAACTTACCAATAATTAATTAATAACCGTAACTTCTGGCAAAGTCCAGAACATCGGGAAGTTTTATCAGAATGCACAGCGTGTTAAATAAATTAGTCCAACTGAGAATGTTAAACAAACAATTAACATGCTCCCTGGAAGTTTTGTTGATTGTATTACGAGTGCTGTAGTTTGTCTTGGTGCTGGTTTGCAGTGTAGCCACTGTGTAAGTGTTGCAGTCAAAGACACAGCTGTCATGTAGATGGGCTTTGCTTTACCTGTTGGTGGAGAAGCTGAGCATTGAGTTGTGGCTGTGTAAGGTTTCTCCTGTGCTGTCGTGGAAATGAACGCTGAAGGTCAGAATGGCTCCCAGCGGGATGGCGGACACAGCCTCTCTGTTAGACGTGTACATGACCGGACTAGTGCTCAGACGCAGGTATGAGACGGTCACCACCTTTCACAACAAACACACCAGCAGTTCACACGCTTAACTGCTGACACGGAATACTAACTACTCAAATATTCATTTACAGTTAAGAGCTATTATGAATTACAAATCATAATATAGATATGTAAGAGATAATCTACAGTCATTTATTTGCAAAATTCTATTATAAAGCGGATAGTTCCAGTCCTTGATTCTGATTGGCTGAGCCGCACTCAAAGCTGTTGTAAATTACTCTACAAACATACACCTTTGTTTACTTCTGTGTGTTGCTCGGCAACCACTTTGTTGCAACCACAACTGATTCTGAGGAACTACATTGTTTGGTGGAAGAACACTGTTTTTATTAATATCATTATACTTTATTTGCTCTGTTTTATTCTGTGAAACCTAACTACGTATATGGAATAACTGTTTTATAAAAGCAATAAGCCCCGCTTCGCGTCGTACCTAACAAAGCCCCTTAGCTGTTATAAATTCACTGTAAACCACGGCTAATTCACTGTAAACAACAGCTTCACGGGGCTTATTGCTTTATTGAATACGTAGGTATCACCCTGAAGTAACAACCCACTGCATGACTGCTAAATAAACACACACACAGCCATATATTTCACTGATGAGCTATGAGCAAGGAACTTATGAGATAATTAAACCGCAATTATACTATATTCATTTATGCATTATTTTTACTAATCTGCAAGTCAAATGAAATATCCTCTATTTTGTTTTCTATTAAGTTTAAGTTCAGTAAAATGCACGTATAAATTGCTAAAATAATGGTCTGTTTAAAGACTGCACTGCAGTTGCATATCATCACATCCTTATGTGTCGGCGTGCTACCTTCACAGCGACGATGATGGTTTGATTGACGCCGAATGTTTCCTGTGAGCTGATCTGTAGCGATGCAGTTCCTGTCAGAGATCCAGACGTCAGATGACCTTTATCATCCACCTGAACGAGAGCAGCTCTGTCCGGACAGTCCAGCACACGGTAGGACAGAGAGCCCAGTCCATCTCTACAGCACAGAGCACACAGTTAGAATGGGCACTGCTCAGCAACAAAGCTCTGATGATCTGGAGCTATTTTTAAAGATCCATTTTTGTCTGACATTGATGGATCTCTGGAGTACTTAATTCTAATTTATTTACTTAATTCTAACATTTAATTTACAGCATTTAACAGTCAAATATTTCTTAATAATGACTGTTGTCTGTGGCTACACTGTATGACTGACCGTTATCCAGGAAACCTACACAGTCACCCACATGGATGCGCTTCTCTGTGTTTATCATTTCAAATAATTTGTGTCTATTTATTTATTTGTTTTTTTAAGCAGCCATTGGACCGGTGGGATAAATGTAGAGCAATTTCACAAAACAAACCCGTACAGGATTACCCTTTCACTTAAAGGGATAGTTCACCCAAAAAGGAAAATTCTGTCATTAATTACTCACCCTCATGTCGTTCCACCCCATTATCACTAAACAAACCCATTCTCTATTCTTATGAAGCTATTCTCGTAGCGTCACAACATTGGTTAAACCACTGATTTTAATGATGTCCTTACTACATTTCTGGGCCTGGGAACGTTTCAGTTGCATTGCTGTCTATGCACGGTCAGAAAGCTCTCGGATGTCATCAAAAATACCTTAATTTGTGTTTTTGCGGTTTGGAACAACATGAGGGTGAGTACATAATGACAGAATTTTCATCTTTGGGTGAACTATCCCTTTAAAATACTCTGAATATCAGAAATAATGATACACGACAGCATGATGCAGGTGTGACATTGCTTGATTATTAAGTAATTATTTAGTCAAAATTTATACATTTGAAAAAAACAAACACAATATATAACTGCAAGTTTATTCAGAATTTGAACTGAATACATGTTTATACTGCGGGGCTGTTGAATGCTTGAATCTGATTGACTGATGAATGTTCTAAGGTGTGCAGGTATTTTCAGGGAAACACACAGCAAAAGTAGTTCCAGGCTGGTTTAGACCGCATTACATGTCCATATCACTGTGCCAAATGATTTCAGTTCTTTCAAAGGGCCTTACAGCCTAAAACAGCAAAATAACCAAAACCCACAGCGACACTGACCAAGCAAATAAACAACAAGATAAAAACATCAAATTATTTCCATATTTCTGCCACAAATGTACATGTTATTATGTACGGAAAGCACATGCTGTACTTCTCCCGCTCTCTCTCCCTTATAAACGCACACACACAAACACGCGCACAGAAACGTGTTGCCAGCACTGCTATGATTTTATCGGTAAAATAGTTTAGCAAGTTAAATGCTACATGACATTTCTCACTAGCGAGGTAATAACGGCGCTGTTGTTGAAGCAGATAAACTTACAGTTTCGCTATTGAGACGCTCTTGCTCAACACACACAGACTCAGGTAATTCACATGTTTAATCTCCCTCTCTCACACAACTGCATTAATAACTGCATTAGTCTAAAATGACGTTTTGGAATTAGCAACAGAGGCGTTTAGATGAGCTGCATAAGAAATTAATCCTACACACAAGAGTGTTTTAAGGGCAAAAACCGGACGAACGTCTTGAAATATAACATCTGAACAATGTCTTGAGGTGTGGTAACCGTAGTAAAATTGACTCCAGTCCATTGAATTATTATTATTATTGTGGCCGCATCACCACCTCGGGTGTGCATTATTTTCCAATAATTCAACGGCCCGAGCTTAATTATTTCTTACATAATGTGGTCTGTTCTGCATTTCTGTCACACTGTATTGTGTGTATTTGTAGGGCAGCACAGCTCACGTTCATGGCAAAGCAACATGGATATCTGATGTTGTTAAGTCTAACTGTAACCGTATGTGCTGATGTGAAGCAAAGGCTGCTGCTGAGTTACCTGTTGGTTTGGAGTTTGAGCAGGGAGTTTGGGGACATCAGGATGTCATCAACGTGAACTTCTGGGTTCAACAGCTGCAGTTTCTCATAAACCTGAAATTCAATGCATGGCAGGGTCAGCCTTTGCTCTCGGTTCAGCGAACGTTCTTCAAAATGCAGTGTTGCAATGGATAAAACATTCAATGCTTAATGAGGGGTTTGTTTTGTAAGCCAGTAACACAGAATACAGTGTTGCTCTGTGAATGACAGAATGAGGTTCAGTCCACCTGAATCTGTATCTCATCATGCAGCTCGAGGGCACTGTCCTGCAGATGTCCAGCCAGGGGAACGCTGGTCTTCACCACCACCCTCAGTCCTGTGCGGCCTTTACTCCTGCCAAACACACTCATGGCGAAGTTGTGCTCAGCGCTGAGCTGTACAGACGCCTGCAGGAGAGATCACACACACACTGCTTCACCTAAACCGCAACACACCAAAGACTGCTTTTTTGTTTCATTTTCAATTTTTTATTAGTGCGGTCAATCGACTAAAAGTAATAACTAATCAAATTTTTTTTGTAATGAACAGCATCTTAAAATAATATATTTATATTGTCATAATTTCATATTGAATCTCCAAATTAATGTAGAAACAACAAAGACGGCATATTTTAAATATGTGTTTAATGGCGTCTCTTTACTACTGTAAGTAGCCTATTATTAATGAAGGTCAGTATCATTGACACCAATACTGCTACTGATGTCTCTATTAAATGCATTTTCCCCTCAATTTTAGTCTTAATTATAGCCATTCAACATTAAAGTATAATTGAAAGCCTTTATTTTTAACATTTAACAGGCTTTGAAAAATATAACTACTTCGTGAACTTAAAACAATCTTTACATAAACTATAAATTGTATATGCATGAACTATAAATTGAATATAGCTTCGTCTTTATTCAATCTACAAACGTTAGTCAGTGAAGAGAAGTGAGTGATTTCTCTTTTTCGTTTGTTCTTTGATTTCCATCAATGACAGACTGCAGCAGGTTTCACTTTAAAAGCAGCGCTGTCTCTTTAAATCCTGACACGAATCGGACACGCATCTCTTTACAGACATTTAAGACTTTTTTTTTTTTTTTTATAAAGTCATTTAAGACTGTTTATGAATTCACTCACCAAAAACGGGTATTTTGACATAATTTTGGGTGTTTTTGTTCGTGAAAGAGAACTCAATGCTCTACTGTCATGTTGTCTGAAGCGGCTTTCTGTGCACTTGCACGTGTCGGAGGCCTGTGTTCACAGAGAGCGTTAACTTCTGTGTTAACTTCTCTTTTGCATCTTATCATGCTTGAAAGTGTGTTCATGTAGTCTACTGTAACGCTTGCCAAAGGATGCCAGGAAAAAAATGGATGCCGGGTTAATTGCGTTAACTGAAACAATTAATCGCACAATTAACCCGTTAACTTTGACAGCACTAATTTTTATAGAAGTACCCATAAGTAAATATGATTTTGAATGTTCCTTTCGTGTTCATTCAGCAAACAGCAGTAAGTGGTCAACAGGCTGTTAAATCTATCATCTGAACTTAAAAAAAAAATATAGAGATGCCAGCCCTAACTGTGATAAAGTTAAAATCAACACAACTAATACTGAAAGCCCACTGTACCTCCGCATGGCGCGTGTGAACGTCCAGAACGTCTCTCTTAGTCACAGACCAGTGGAAGGTCAGTCCAGGAAGAGCGTTCCCGAAGGAGAACGGCGTCTGGCTGCTGGTCAGGCCCATCACATACACCGGCATCTACAGCCACAGACCAAACCTTCATTACAACCTCAAAATCCTCTGCAGGTAAAAGCTGAACTCATAATGTGTGTTTACCAGAGTGCCTGTCTTCATTCTGGTGATGGGAGCTCGGATTCTTATGGCCTTCAGCTGGACCACCTCAACATCCACTTGATCCTGCCAATGACAGCATTTAAAGTGCCCCTATTATGGATTTTTGAAAATTACCTTTCATCCAGTGTGTAACACAGCTCTAAGTGAATGAAAACATCCTGCAAAGTATTAAATCTTAAAGTGCACCGTGTATAAAGTTATTGTCTCTCAAAAGAAAGAGTCGACTCTGAATCATTGAAACAAGTTATTTTTGTCAACATGAAACATTAACATATTGCCCGCCCACTTGTTGGTCTTTTCGAGTTGGTCTGAATAAAAATGCAGATTCATTCTTTGCCACCAGGTGCCGCTTTTGGAGCGGTAAAAATAGAGTTTTCCCCGGTAACGCTGTACACAAAGCAGCACTGCGCTCACAAAAGCTGCTTTATCAGGCGTTACAGGCAAGATGAAATGGAAATGAGACCGATTGGACCAATCACCGCAGATTAGCATCACGCAAAGGAGGGGTTTGGAAAAATGAATCGTTGAGCGAATCTTTGGGAGTCGTTGAGCAAGTAAGGTAAAAATAAACGCATATTATAAGACAATGAAAGTGTTTTTTGACCTTGCATGCATGTCAACCTGTTGTTGGGGACTCCCAAAACCAAAATATGAACCTTTCATTACCCATAATAGGGGCACTTTAACTCACTCACACAGATCAATGCGGCTTCATTCATTCAATCATTCATTCATCTGTCTGCAGAGCATCACCTTTGACACCACCACCAGTTTGCCAGTTTCAGTGTCGACCCATATTATAAATGAAAGTGTTTTTTGACCTTGCATGCATGTCAACCAGTTGTTGGGGACTCCCAAAACCAAAATATGAACCTTTCATTACCCATAATAGGGGCACTTTAACTCACTCACACAGATCAATGCGGCTTCATTCATTCAATCATTCATTCATCTGTCTGCAGAGCATCACCTTTGACACCACCACCAGTTTGCCAGTTTCAGTGTCGACCGCCTGAACCACGCCGGTCACGCTCATGTTGCCCACCGACAGGCCCTTGACGTGCCCCAGACTGCTGACAGAGGCGATGCTCTCGTGGGACAGAGAGAAGAGGATGTTGGACTGGGGCTGTGGTCCTCCCTCTGACGTGATCTACAAATCAACAGGTGCAATCCTGAAGATGATCACTGATCACAGACATGGTATTTAAATGACAGACAAACACCTAGTCCTGTTGAGCCAATTCAATGTGCTTAATGTTTCACCTTCACTTGTTTGCATTGAAGACATATTTCCACATAGAAATTATAGAAAAGGCAATGGAAAAGAATACCTGACAGTACTACATGGAACCTAATAATCGGTTATTGGCCCAGTCCGAAAAAGTCTGATGTAACCACGTCAATCTGAATAAATTAGCCAAACCTAAATTTCATTCCAATTCCAATTTCATAATCCAAACGTTAAAAACCCGCGTGTTAACATCCTTGTCATGCTAGTTATCATCTTGGAAGCAGACATCCACGTCGTAACCTGAGATGTTTGCCAGTGGTAGTCCAACTATTATTTCATCCATATTGCTGCGGTCCAAGTAAATTGATGGATTTGATGTTTAAAAAAATTATTAAATCATAATCCTTGATTACTTTTTGCATTCATGAAAAAGTGTTTCAAATCATCAACCTGAATGATTTAATTCCGAACTACAAAACGCCGTCCATGTAAACGTAGCTAATTATATTTGGCCACAATCATGCAGTTATAGAGTGCAGCATTTGCTAGTGTTTTGTGTGTCGATCTGCTCACTCACACCAGATCTGAGTGCATTAGACAAGAGGACAGAAGTACCCTGATTACTTACCTGCATCATTGCGCCGACTATCAAAGTGACTTTCCTGGGCAGCAGTCTGAAGGGAGGAAATACCTACAGATCAAACAACAAAATATAATCTGAATTTTCAGTAGCAACTTATGTGTGTAGCTTCAAGAGAGCAACCATATATTTTCGTTGTGTTTGATTTTCTTCATTTGCTTCATTTCTTCAGCTATTATTTGAATCACTTGACCCTTCACACATTTTTTTGTACATTACATTTGTTCATTAGTCATTTTTATTATGATTATTTATTACTGCTTCCTTTTCCAAACCCTCAGGCTGACAGAAGGTTTAGTATAAGTTTTGGGATTCTTCATGCTAGCAATATTAGATCCAGTGCTTTTACTAGATCCCGTCAAAACAGATCAGTCTTTTGTCTGGTACTCAAATCCCAGTCAGCAGAGTTTTGTCTGACACCCAGAACCAGTCAACAGCAAATGCCAAACCTGACCCGACTGCTGACTGGGTTATGAATACCAGATAAAAGGCATTTCTTCTCTCAGGATCTGGTTAAGGGACTGGATCTTATATTCCTAGTGTAAAGAATCGGTTCCCTAAATTATATTACAAAAAACATATAGTATACTTATAAATAATATATGCACATTAAGCGTGGAGCAAACCCTTCATAAAGCTGTAAATGATGGCACAGAAGCGGCTTACTTCAATCTGCTGGGGCGCAGAGTTGATTTTCCTGCCATTTTTGTCTATGACGACAGCAGACACACTAGTTTGTCCGATCACCAGACCTTTGACCAGAAATGTGGCTGTATCTTCTTCTGAAGAATCGGGCAGGGCCCTGACAAACAGCAGAGGTTGATTAGCTCTCTCAGACGCCAGAACACAAAGCTCAGGAGATCTAAGACACGGTTACTCACTGCAGGGATATAATGGAGGACGCTGCCCTCAGCTTCAGGTTCATGACAGAGAAATATCTGGACAGGAAAGGCTTCTTGTTGCCATCCAAAACCCGAACATATGCTTTGACTGACTTGCCGATCTCCACCTGAAATGAATGTGTCGTCTGAATTTTATTTCTGATTTCAAAATCCTTTTATAAACAATTATAAAATGCACATGCATGGAATTTCGAAACGGATTTGTTTCCGTTTATTTATTTTAATATATTTTAACATATGAATGATTCAAGGTCTTTTTTTTTTTTTTTGATCGGATGTCACCAACCTTGTCGACCACACGCACATAAACCTCCAGAATATCAGAGATGTGAACCGTAGCCGTAGCAGGAGAAGGGAAGTTCAGACAAAGGTCATGAACCATCACCTGCAAGACCCCCGCCTGAGCCGGGACCACCTGAGTCACAACCAAATGAGATTACATTCAAATTAAACCACAGAAGAAACAAGTTATTAACAACTGATACTGTGTAGTCAGCTGTAAGGCTCAACATAAGTCCACTAAAGTCATTGAAATTTTTTTGCAGTCATTTTAATACACAAATATCACAGACAGCAATCACCAGCCTTAACAACGACTGGAAATACTAGAAAATATGACTCATGTCTGGATTTTTGAAATATTTTGTTGAAGTAATGGTCCAGGTTCAACATAAGTTAAGCTTTATTGACAAATTTCATGGCATAATGGCCATTCCAAAGAAAATTCTTCAATTTATTTCTCAGTACAAAAAATAAATGAATAAATAAAAATAGTGTAACAGACACGAGTCCGTGTAAAGTTCAATTTTCTGTCATAAAGGAATAAATAATCCTATACTTTACATAATATACTTAAGTGTGAACTGCATGTAATGTTTTCGGACACCTAAAATTGAATGAAAATTTACTATAGTTTAAGTTTATATTAAAGGGGTGGTTTACTGGGTTTTTTTCTAGGCTTGATTGTGTTTATGGGGTGCAGTCTAACATGTGTTAATGCTTTGTTTTTTTAAAAACGCATTATTTTTCACATAATTTACCTTTATTCCACACCTCTCTGTCCCTTCTCTGAGAAACGGGCTGATCATTTCCTTCTTTTATGAAGCCCCTCCCTCAGAAATAGGCGATGGGCTCTGATTGGTTAGCTAGCCCAGTGTGTTGTGATAGGCTAAACCGCCTCTAGCGCGCGTCTAAACGTCCCACCCCTCACCTCGGCGGCATGTGCTCCGGTTGTATTGTAAACAACTGCGTCGTTAATATCGCTTCAGTTTGAGCCCGATTGAGAAGCAGAGGATATTACTGAAGAGGATCGTGCAGAACCTGTGCAAGCACGGCTTTTAATGGTTTATCAGGGTTTGTGATGTCATGAACTCGGGAAGTAACTTGTAGTCCCTACCAGCCATTTTTGTAGGCATTAAGCCGCCAGAATTTTAAAAGACGATATCTCCGTTTGCATTGAACTTTCAGCTTTGTAACTTTGCAGATATTGTTTATGCTCAAACAGCAACCTTTTGGAGTCTTCACTAATGAGCTGATGAGTTGAATCAGGTGTGTTTGAATAGGGAGACATCTAAAATGTGCAGTGTTGGGGGTTCTCCAAGACCAGGATTGGGCACCACTGTACTAGACAACCCAACTAGTCAACCTCATGTGATCGGTTGTTGGCTGACTATTCTAGAGTCGTAATAGGGAATTGCCTCCAAGAGAGTCAATTTCTAGAACAGGAATTAACTTATCTGTTGCAGAATCCAAAATCGCTCAAGTTCACTCATTCAATACTGCACCATATCAGTTATAGTAATAGTGCACTATATCGGTTCAGTAGTGCACTATATCAGTTCAATAGTGCACAATATCGGTTCAATAGTGCACTAATCAGTTCAATAGTACACTACATTGGTTCAGTAGTGCACAATATCGGTTCATTAGTGCACTATATCAGTTCAATAGTGCACAATATCGATTCAGTAGTGCACTATGTCAGTTCAATAGTACACTATATTGGTTCAATAGTGCACTATATTGGTTCAGTAGTGCACAATATCTCTTCAGTAGTGCACAATATAATTTCATTAGTGCACTATATCGGTTCAGTAGTGCACTATACCAGTTCAATAGTGCACAATATCGGTTCAGTAGTGCACTATACCAGTTCAATAGTGCACAATATCGGTTCAGTAGTGCGCTATGTTGGTTCAGTAGTGCACAATATCGGTTAAGTAGTGCATTATATCAGTTCAATAGTACACAATATCGGGTTCAGTAGTGCACAATATCGGTTAAGTAGTGCACAATATCGGTTAAGTAGTGCACAATATCGGGTCATCAGTGCACAATATCGGTTCAGTAGTGCACTATACCAGTTCAATAGTGCACAATACCAGTTCAGTAGTGCATTATAGATAAACGCTTTGAATTTGAATTGAATTATATCAGTTCAATAGTACACAATATCGGGTTCAATAGTGCGCTATATTGGTTCAATAGTGCACTATATCAGCCATGAATGAACGAATTTGAACACTCATGTACTACACCATGCATCAGAGAGCTGGAGCTGTTGCAGAAACAAATTTGTCACATACTTTTATCTTACATGTAATTACCTAACTTACCTCAATGTCATATCAACACAATAAATATTCATTTGGTTTGCCATGGTTATCCTAATAAAATAAAAACTGCCAACAACAATAAACACATTAATAAGTGTACATTATTGTTTTTAGTTATAATTTTTAGTATCTTGAACTCTGCTGTCCAAACAGCTTTTTCTAAGACAAGAAATAACAATGGAAAATCACATCTAACTCTAAAATAATATTCAACCAAATTCTGTTTATCATGACTCGTGACGGAATACAACACCAATCCCATTTTATTGCAGACTTGGTGGGGGTTTGAAAATCACTTTCATTAAAAAAAAATCTGAATTTGCCTGCACTAAACTGTTGTGAAAACAGGCTGAGCTTGTCATGGGATATGAACTCACTCCACTCAAAACGGCTGCTGCCTCTAGATGGGACGTTTGATAGCCGACTGCAGTCACAGTGATGGCTGCCACGCCTGATTCATGATGGACAAGAACCGTCTGATGACCTGTGGAAAACATCACATACATAATTATGAGCATTAGGTTGAGCGGTGTGATGGTATATGATTGCGTGACAGTAGAAATGTGTGAACTGGTAGAATAAAAACTGGTAGAACAGTGCAATTTAATTTTCATTTTTAAAGAACTTAAGACACAATGGTTATGTACATAGGCTTCTATAAAGATATGACAAAATTGATACTTTATGCATGCAATTAGTGCAGAAGGAGTCAGACTTCACATGAAGAGAAGGAGAGCGAGTCAGGTGTATAGCCTGGTTTATACTCGCCGCGTAAAATGCAAGCATTCGTTTTAGTCTTAGAAATTGAAAGGTGTGTAGATGTAGTGCTGGGCGGTATACCGGTTCATACCGAATACCGGTGTTTATTTTTGTTATGATATGAATTTTTAAAATACTGCAATACCGGTGTATGTCGCTTAAACAACGTTCGGAAAGTGACACTGTTTGAAAGGGGTCCCTTTTCATTGTTGCACTGTGATGAGGGCACAGCTGTATGTGTTACTAAGCGTGACCCGGTCATGCATGAAAAAAAAAAATACTGTCATGTACCGTGAAAACGGTATAATTTTGAAAAATACCGTGATATAAATTTTTGGTCATACCGCCCAGCACTATGTAGATGTAAGAGCAACATCTTTTCTTGTAAACCGTGACACCAAGATCGCAATTTCGAACGCGAAAGTGAAAGCGCATAAAGCCCCGCCAAACCACCCGGTGTTACCGGTAATACAGCTTTTGTCAGTTTATATACCGGTGTGAAAATTTCCTCACCGTGACGTCCCTAATTGTGACATATGCTGTTATGAGATAAACTGTCAAATGTAAGTAATATGACTTTTGTCATTCTATCAATTCCTAATACATACTTGTATTTCATAATTCTCAATGGTCTGAAGTAATCAGTATGAGGTACCATGGAGTTTTTTCTGTTTGTTGTCGTCCTCGTTTACGTGTAGCTGCATGGGCATGGTTGGTTCGATGCTCGCCAGGGAAACTTTGGAGGACTCCCAGATCATACTCAAAGAGCTGAAGTTATCAAACTTCCTGCCCTGCTGGTCAAAGGCCGCCACATCCAGCTCTGGGTTGTGATAATTTGAAACTGGCACCTACAGAACAAGTACAAACGCTCCTGAACTTCCTGTCATAAGAAGACTACAAATATGTCAGAGTTTGAGCGCTCACCACTTGTTTGTTCTGCTGCAGCAGAGGACAGGACACATCCAGCTGTGGGTTCACGTAAATGGGTGTCAGTGTGAGACGTGACGGAGGTGCGCACACAAACTTCACCACAGCCGGCTCCACAGCAGGGAAGGGGTTCGTCACGGTGGGCTGGTTTCCAACTGTCACTGCTAAGACCTGCGAAGCCACAATTATTTGAGCATTTCAAACATATCAGTCCACATTCCTAGTGGCTAGGCCACAGGATATGACATCACAGGCTCCTCTGACCTGTTCTCCCAGAGCGCGGCATGTGGCTCTGACCAAATGTCTGGAGTATGTCCGTGAGGCGGGTCCGTACAGAGACAGCGTGACACTGCTGTGGTCCTCAGCCGTGAGGTTTCTGAAGAACTTGGAAGGCTCTAGGACCCAGGGCCGGGGGCCTCCTTCAAACGTCATGTCTTTAGAGGAGCCTAATGTCACCACAGCCACAGACATGGGGTCAATCGGCTGTCAAAGAAAAAGCATGCCAATCAAATCACTGCTCATGATAACAATGCACATTTGTCCTTCTCCATCTTCAAAGCACAGGTATTAAACGCTTACCTTGAGAGGGGGGTAGGCAGCAATGGTGATCTTTGCGCTGAGGTGAACATTACTATGGGTGTAGCTAACCAATAGGTTGGTGTAACCGGGGGTCAAGGCCTGAACTCTGACCCCGCTGCAGTGGCCCTGACCTGGGGGAAGTCTACCTGAAGACACACACAAATGCTCAAAATATTACAGCTACTCACAGACTTCAAAATTAATTGCATAACATTCTGCTTCTGTTAAATCTGCAAACAAACACTGAAATCAGTCACACTGAAACTGAAATCAGAACATTGAAACTGAGTCAAAACAGCTTTTGTGACATTTGCCAACTTCATATTTCAAGATGAAAAATGCGCTCAGTCTGTCTCACTGGCTCTTATTTATTTTCTCAAATGAAAACTTAACTAAGCAGAGTTTTAAAGCAGGGGTGCTCAATCCTGTTCCTGGAGATCTACCTGCCTGCAGACTTCAGTGCCAACCCTGATCAAACACACCTGTCTGTAATTATTTGAGATTGTCTTATTATTGGGATATACCAAGGGCGCTACATTTGTAGAAAGCATAACAACAAATAATCTAACTGTGATTTTTTTCCCCATAATACTGCGATTGCAAGCATTAAACCATCAAACTTTTATTTTCACTGAAAACCGCAGGAAGTCCTTAAAGCTTTTCTTTTGTTGACAAGCTCTTCTCATTAAAAGTATGGGAAGATGGCTGATGCATGTTGCGTTGCTAAATGTGAATGAAACGGAGCAGATGCAGAGATTGCATTTGTGTGGAGCAGCATTTACTATGAACAGAATCCCTCTGAGAAGCTGCAAACACTGGCAGATAATGAGCTGCTCACATGCCACGATTCACTCGGAAACATGCAGCACACATATATTCATTAAATGAAATCACAGATTGTGTGATTTGATAATCGCACGAAGCCATACTGCGATTTCAGGATTAATCATGCAGCCCTGACCGGACGCCTCACACACCAAAAATAAGGCAGATACTATGCATATGCTCTACTCAGAAGGACTGGCCGCTGCTAGACTCAATTATGTTTGAACATAAAACATCAGTTTGAAAGGCTGAGCAGTTTGCATCGCTGATATTTGTTTAATATTTGTCAATTACTCTACTAACAGGCTTGCTTCAGTCAGCGCTACTGTGATACTTTTGCTTAAGGCTGCACAATTAATCGAATTTCTAATCGCGATTACAATTATGGATGCCACAATTACGTAATCGTTCAAAGTGGCAATTAATCGTTCAAAGTCCACTTACGTTATTTTGCCCACTTAAGATATGTTTTTTTCTTTCTACATGTTATCTTAAGGGTTTTTCCATTGTTTTAGTTTTAGTTTTAGTATATCTAATCGCAATTACAATTATGGATGCCGCGTAATCGTTCAAAGTGGCAATTAATCGTTCAAAGTCCACTTACGTTATTTTGCACACTTAAGATATGTTTTTTTCTTTCTACATGTTATCTTAAGGGTTTTTCCATTGTTTTAGTTTTAGTATAACATTATAATACCATTCATATTTTTACTTTTTTTATAATTTAAAGAAGAAACCAATCCGATGTATATTTGCTATTTGATGCTTAATACTATAGAAAAGCACTAAAGGTTTTTCAGCTTGTTTATTTTCATATAAAAATACGGCATGCAGTTGCATCAAACAATGGTATAAACATCACTCAGTGTAAACTGTGATAATCGTAATTAATAATCGCAATTACAATTTCAAGGGAATAATCGACAATTATGATTTTTGTCATAATCGTGCAGCCCTACTTTTGCTGTATGGAAGCTCAACTTTAAAATCTCTGCTTTTGCGTTCCATGCAAGTAAGAAAATACATTATTTCAACATCAACTCAACTCACCCTCCAGCAGCTGAAAGACACCGTGACTCTCCATGTCCACCTGCATATCAAAGTGAGAGCAGTCACTGAGTGTCACTCTCTCTCCAGCCAGCTGACCGAAGATTCGCAGCGGCAGATCCAGACTCAAGCCCAGGCGGGCCTCCACCACACACGGGCTGAACTCCATCCTCACCGGCTCGATCACATACACCTGCAGGAACGACACACCGCAGATTACCTCAGGATTTAGATTACACATGCTCGGTTATTTAAAACTAAATAATAAAATTCAGGAATATTCAATCTATAACAGTTAGGGCTGGGACAATAAATCGATGCATCGCGATTCGTGGATCGATTCTGAGATTTTCGGAATGCATCGTGTGATTCTCTCTCGAATCGATTCTGAGCTTAGTTTTTAACAGCAGATGGCGCTCTAGGCTCGTTTTTAACCGCACACTCAAATGCTCACGAAGAAGAGCGCTTGTGCGTTCGGCTGAGTAATGTAAGGGGTTAAATGTACTTGCACATCGGCTTTTATGATGCGAGATTAATATAAACACAGCCCACTGTGAACATCCTTGTAATTCACTTCAACCTTTTTGAACTTTATGAATGATTATTTTAGGTTTAAATGGTGTGTGTAAGGAACTGGAAGCAAGCAGAATACTGCTATTTCTAAAGCACACAGTGCCATCTGCCGTTAAAAACTAAGCCCAGAATTTATTCAAGAGAGAATCGCAATTAGGGCTGAAACGATTCCTCGAATACCTTGAGCAACTCGAATACAAAAAATCATCTAGGCAAATTATTTGCCGAGGCTTCGTTTAGTCCATTTACTGTAACTACACACGGAATACCGTGTTTCCCCACGGACCATTATTACTGATGCACAACCCGATAAACGCTGGACCATAGACTGTGGACAATTTTTAAAAAAAGTGCTGGACATATTTAAGATCGTAAATCACTATGGTGGCTAGTTATGATGTCCCTATGTTAGCTATGTTTTGTGAAAGACTAAACGCCATTGTGCATAAAAATACCACAGAAAGAAAGTTAGTCAATATCACACGAAGAGTTAGATTTCACCTCTAAAGTCAGCATGATTACAAATGTGATTTTATTCAACAGTTCAATAAACAAG